TGTTCCAATCCTAGTTTTAATTGTAATGGAATAAAGTTCAAATTGAATGTTAAGGAGATCTTGTTATACTTGATCTGCCTACATTGTAATACATTAAACCCTAATCTTGACAGCATTTATAAAAGGCAACAAAATTTCCATAGAAATTTCAAAGCTGTAGATAATATAGTAGAACAAAGCTCACTAGAACACTATTAAATTTAAAACATTCTTATTTTATTTATCCTAAGAATCAAATTACATAAATAATATTCAGCTCTCTCTGTTTTGATTCTTTAGCTATCTGAGAAACAAATAGTAAAGATAATCATGCGATCATGCAACAAAGATCCGAAAATTGAAGCTCTGAGGATACTTGGAATGAACCACTGGGCCGTGGGACAGAGATTAGATTGCACCTTAGGGATGAAGCTCAAGAGTACTTGGAGGAAAGCAAATTGAAGGTTAGTGTAGTTTGTAGTTTCTGTCTTGTTTGTTTTCATTACTTTTATTTTAGTTATACCGATTTTATTAGGGATTTATTTGATCTATCGTGTCACCATCCTTTGTATTGTTATCTTCATGAATTTGTGATTTTATGTTTTTATTTCTGCTTTGCCTTTTTAAAACATGTTAACAAAGCATGCTGTGGTTGTCATCTGCAGGAATTGGTGAAGACATATTCCGAATTCATCAATTTCCCCATCTATATCTGGGCAAGTAAAGAGGTTGATGTTAATGTTCATTTAAAGCTTTCTGGTGCCATTTTATCATAATACTGTACGAGTGTGCATGTTCTGATCAAAGTATTTGGTCTCATTCTCCTTTCTTGCTACAAACAGCTGATAGCACTTCTTCTGAGGAAGGCGAAGATGAAGATGCTGATAAAGGGAAGGATGACGACACTGAAAAGAAACCAAAGAAAAAGACAGTGAAGGAGACTACTTATGAATGGGAACTTCTGAATGATGTTAAGGCTATATGGTTGCGCAGCCCAAAGGATGTGACAGATGAGGAATGCATAAAATTCTCACTCTCTAGCAAAGGTAATTTGACATAAATTTCCTTGGTCCAGACTGCTGAAAACACCTTGGAGAAGTTACTAACCTTTATTGTTGTTTGTTTGTGTTGCTCTGAAGGAGTTTAACAATGAAAAGCCCAGGGCCTGGAGCCACTTAACCGCTGAAGGTGACGTTGAATTCAAGGCTGTCTTGTATGTGCCTCCTAAAGCTCCTTATAATCTGTATGACAGTTACTATAAAGCTAAATCCAACTTGAAGTTGTTTGTTAGACGAGTTTTTATCTCTGACGAATTTGATGAGCTTTTGCCGAAGTTTCTTAGCTTTTTAAAGGTAATCGAAGATAATTTCAAGTTACTTTAAATTACTTCAATAAGCACTTTGTTTTCTTGTTTTCCGATTGTGTTAATTATTGGATAACCTATTGAGTCAGGGTATTGTTGATTCTGATACTCTACCACTCAATGTGTCTCGAGAGATGCTACAAGCACACAGCAGCTTGAAAACAATCAAGAAGAAACTCATCAGGAAAGCCCTCGATATGATACGCAAAATTGCTGAGGAGGATCCTGATGAGTCCAGTGGCAAAGACGAGAAAGGTGTTGTATAATTGCTTCTTATTAGTAATTACTTCAAAGTCAATTTAAAAATACTTCACCCCAGACTGAGTCCCCTTTCAAACTGAAACTCTTTTATTTGAAGTTATTTATCGGTTAGTGATTGAAGCTGAATATTGATGTAAATGCAGAAGCAGAAAAATCTGGAGATGATGATGAGAAGAAGGGCCAATATACTTAGTTCTGGAATGAATTCGGAAAGTCCATTAAACATGGTATCATTGAGGATGCATCCAACAGAAATCGCTTGGCTAAACTCCTTAGATTCGAGAGGTATACATTTTTCAGGTTATCTTTAATTTCTTTGGAGAAATTTTCCTTTTCTGCCATTAATATCATTAATAATGTATGAATTGCAACGCAGCACTAAGTCGGATGGAAAATTGACTTCACTGGATAAGTACATATCAAGAATGAAATCGGGGCAGAACGATATCTTCTACATTACAGGAACGAGGAAGGAACAGTTGGAAAAGTCTCCATTCTTGGAGAGGCTTAAGAAACAAAATTACGAGGTACTGCAAAACATTTCTATTAACGTTAGATATTTACTTTGCTTCAAAACCATCTTTTTAAGATCTTCTTACCTTCTACTTATTCTATTCCTTATTATGTCTGTTTGTATTGCTTTATTTTGTTTCTAATGTCCTTTGTTATTTCCATGTCATTTTTTTACGGATCCCGTTGACGAATACCTGATGGACTATGAAGGAAAACAGTTCCAAAATGTGTCCAAGGAAGGCCTAAAAATTGGAAGCACAAAAAGAACAAAGAACTCAAGGAGTCATTTAAGGAACTAACCAAATGGTGGAAGGGTGCAATTACCACTGACAAAGTTGATGAGGTGAAAATAAGCAACCGTTTGGACAACACTCCTTGTGTGGTTGTCGCATCAAAGTTCGGTTGCAGCGCGAACATGGAGAGGATCATGCAAGCTCAAACCCTATCAGATGCTAGAAAGCAAGCATGCATGAAAGGCAAGAGGATCCTTGAAATCAATCCAAGGCACCCTATCATCAAGGAGCTTCGTGAGAGAGTTGTTAAGGACCCTGAGGTACGAACATTTAAACCAGAAATATCCATGTCGAATGACACCATGTTCGATAGGCATTAATAAGTTTCCTTGTTCTTGTTTCATGAATTATAATGGTTCAGTTAACTAACTTGACGGAATCATTTACTGGATCTTCAGGATGAGGGTGTGAAGCAAACAGCTCAGCTTATTTATCAGACAGCTCTGATGGAGAGTGGCTTCTCTTTTCCCGACCCCAAAGATTTTGCCTCACACATCTACAGCTCAGTTCAATCTAGCCAAAATATCAGTCCTGATGCAACAATTGAGGAGGAGGAGGAGGAGGATGTAGAAGAAACCGAGACAGAGTCCGAGACAAAAACAGGTTCGAGCACTCTAAAGGTTGAAGCCGAACCTGATAAAGATGATGCAGATACCGACTCTTCCGATCTCAAAGATGAGTTGTAGACTGCCTGAAGCCTTAGAGGTATTTGGTCCCTCTCAAGTGAATCCAAAGAAACTGCATTATCATGCGCATTTCAATTCTTCAAACTTTGATAAAAGAAAGCACTTGATGGTAGAGTTAATGTATAGTCGCCAGGAATTTTGTCTTCAGTTGCTGCTCCAATTTGATTAGAGTAGGTATTATTTATTTTAAATTAAATATATTAGAATAATTTTGTGAATAAATTAAAATCTGATATTAAAATATTCGAATTCGACTTGGTCCGTTAAAACATCAATGGGTCTTTGTGGTCTTCAAATCAGGCTCTGTATTAAAATATGCCCAAACAGTATGACACTAGCATTGCTGGATAATTGTTTTCTTTTTTCTTACTTATTTAATGTATTATTCTGAAATTCATTTATCCAAATAAACAATCCCGTGCTTAACCAACTATGATGGAACTTTGGAAGAAAATAAGGCTCTTTTTTACAGTTGCAAAGCACACTGAAACAGTTTTACTTTTGACAAATCAAGATTCCAACATTTCATGATACTACTATTTTATGACAGCCAAATCCACTCATAATTTGGCTGTCCAAAGAATAAACAAAAGAGGCAGGCACTACCAAAAGATTTCTTAAAAGAGGCAGATTTGATTCGTTAGAGATTATTGATTTTTCTTTTCTTTTCTTATATTAGATTAGCTAAACATACCATTATCTTAATTGTTAGGTATGGCTCATAAATATACCAGTAAAGAGGACAGGAGATGGAGCGGAGTGAGCGAAGCGAACATCAACTGTCCTTACAAATAAAGTCTCGTTGTGGGGTTACGAATTATGTGGGTTGGGGGTGCGGGGGCGCAGCCCCCGCGGTACGATACAGGGTTAATTTTGTAATTATGTACCAGGGTTTTCTATTATAAATAGAGATGTAACCTAGACCTAAAATATCATTGAATAAAAACTTCTAGCGCCGCCTAGGCACCGAGGACGTAAGCACATTGCCGAACCTCGTAAAATTCTCGTGTTCTTTTGTTTTCTTTACCCGTTTTCGTCAACATTAATCATAAACCTCTCTCTTATATTTTATCTGTAATCAAAAGACTGATTCTGATTCGTTCAATTTTATACCATTCCGCGGATAAAGGGTGCCACTTTTCTTCTTCTGAAAACGTCCAAAGTTTGTGGCCCTCTTTCAACTTATGAAGATTCAAATTTTTACTTTAAAAAAATGGATTTATTTATGTTATCATTAAATTTATCAAATATAATTATATAAGTTCGCATTAATATTTATAATTCTGATTCAGGATATTCTCTTTTATCTATATATTTTTAACGAAATTTGTTAAAGCCTATCCGCGGGGAAAACTGTCCCTGCATTTTGGTAAAACGGGGGCTTTGGCTTTTTGACCACCCCAGTCGAGCTGTTTTGAAACCATGGAAATGGTAATGCACATTCTTTACCATTTATAAATAACCCTAAAGGAAGAGTCACTTTGTTCATTCAATTGTAGGTGCAGAAACTAAGAATTCATATTTATATCACGGGCCGAAACTTTGAAGTTGGAGAGTATGCATGTCCATTAAATTATTTAATTATCAAGGCCAAGTTGCAAACAACTTTGATTCCCAATCAAACATGCCTTTCTTTTATGTAAAGATGACAGATGCAGAAATGAAATGAAGATTTTTATACAAAGAAAATATGCAAGAATGGGCAACAACATACCCAAATAAATATTTTAAGAATACTTTATTATCACGGCAAATTCTATATTAAAGATATCGAACTTATAAAATTTTCGAAGTTAAAACATATTGTCAATAAAAAATATAAAAAAAATATCTAAATTATATAAAAATTTAAAAACTTTAGAGATGGTCCCTCGATCCATCTTTATCCATCATAGAAGCGAAGCTTGTTGTTCCAGCACAGTAACAAATTAACTCTTCATATGCCTTCTAGATCAATTAAAAAGAGTAATAATAATCTTGTATTTTTAAATACATGGCCTGGAAAATTGGGCTTTTACAATCTGGATTTGGAACCCTAAATTAATCTTCCATTTAAGCTGTTCAATAAATAAGCTGCTTTATTTAGTGTTGAGATTATAAAATCTAAGAGAGGAATACAATGGAAATCGCTGAAGCTAACAATGTGATGTGCAAAACAGCTTCAGAAAGTGAGTTGGAAGACTCCCCTGTAAGTGAACCTGGTAACCATGAACCATTGTAGTCAGTAGGAACCTCTCCTGTCCCTGTAATAGAGCCATATGCTGTCCCCGTTGTCACTGTTGCGCCTCTCGTCGTCGTTACGACCGTATTGCTTGCAGATTTTTTACTGTGAAGGAATAAAGTTACAGCAAATTGAAGGCTTTTCAACATTGATCAGAAAAGGAGATTCTGATGGAATGAAGTCGTTCCATTTCAACAGCTTTTTTCATGGATTCTCAAATCTCAATCAGAAAAGACATCGAAATAAAAATTTATAGGAGTATGAAATAATGTATACCTTGTTGATGAAGGGCAAAATGTAATCGTATAATCAGCTCCCGTACATGTAAACGTACTCGTAGCATCATCATACGCGTAACTATATGCCTTGGGGCAAGCCATTTTGAACATCTCCGAATAGACAGATGGTTTACATGCGTCGGGTGTGGCGTACGCGCCACTGCAGCAATACTCCGGCGTTCCAAATGCCTCGCATGAACTCTTACATGCCACACCGGAACCGACCCTTAACTCTGTCGGACACTGCCGGTTCAAGTCATTGATGCAACCAGTTGACAAGCACGTGCCTGAACCATTGCTCGGCTCTACGATCATCGGTATGTTGTAGCCATCCACTAAGCTAACGTCATAGAAATCCTGGGTACCGGACCCTATGGTGAACTCGGCTAATGTAGCCGGTGGAGTTGCGCCATTCCCTTTGCATTCAATTTGAGTCGAGCCACAGTCACCAGTTTGGCAAGTGAATTGGCCCGTGGTTTGGTCCGATGTGCATCTGGTTCTCCCCCAGAATCTACCGGACCAACCCGGTGGTGCCGGTAAGGATCGTGATCCACCGGACGGTAGCTCGAAACCGGTGCTATCTAGCTCGGTTTTGCCTAGGATACCAGGCCAAACCGTGTAATCACATTTATTTACAAGTGTAAATGTAGCCCCTGAAATCCCTGTATATATAAATGCAGGCTATGTTAATAATGTCGATGCTATGTTCTATAAATGTTGGAAGAATTCTCAAAAACCTCACCTTGAAAGATTGAGATCAGAGTCAATAAACAAATGTAAAATATCAGAAAATCCATCTGGAATGAAAAATGTTGCTGGAGAAAGTTGAAGGGTGCATTTGCTGGAAGATAAAAGATTGTTTCAATGGCGTTGATCGGAAGATCATCAACAAAGATGGCAGAGAGATTTTTATGTCATCTGATCTAAACTTACAATACTCACTCTCTCCATGAATGTTAATATATAGTATTTTAATATAGGGTAGTGGACGTTGGAATAAAAATGAAATCTACTGCTGTATAAACCCAAAAGAATGACTACCTAATTTTACTAGGGTAGTCAAAAAGTACCAAATTCATTTGCTGCATATATATCTACTTATATTTTATAAGTTGGTAATGTATAATTTCAAATCCTTCAAATTCCTAGAAGTTGTGGGTTCGAACACAAACGATTGCAATGGTGATTAAAAGTTCATTGTCAAATTATTGAGAGTATTTAGAACGTAGATTATTTTGTAATCACCTTAGTTTAATAAAAAAATTATCTATATATAAAAAATTATTCAGTAATCTTAATGATAAAAAAATATTGTTATTTTTAAAGATTTGAATTTTAGTAGTTGCGTTTGTAGGATGCATGTGCACGATAATATATTAATAAATTTTATAAACATTAATATTATGCATATATTATACAACTTTAATCCTTAATTAAAAATTAAATTAAAACTTTCACTTAAATACATGTTTCATCTTCCAAAAAATTAGGAACTATCATTAATCTTTGTGTCTCTATTCGAATCTATATGCAATATTGATGTAGGATAGGAGACTGAGAAAGTCAATTTGACAGATTATTTCGCTAGCGGTTCTGAATGCATCGACAAATTATCGTAAAATAAGATATAACTATACAAGATCATCGACCTTTCTTTACCAAGAGATGCATCGTATTGAATACAACACGGATGTTAAAATGTCATAACGATAAATAAAATCGTATCAACAAAATACATGAATAATCGTGTTATAAATACGGATAAAAATAAATGAAAAATACAATATTTAAATCTTTTAGTTAAAAGGAATTAAAGATAAAGTTTAATGAATCGGGGTCAATGGAAAGAAATGAAGCAAAACTTTAAAGGTTATCGTCTTCTTTAATCTTTATCATCTGGTTGAGGTGGATCAAGTGTAATACATATATTAACCTTTTGTTTCCCACTTAAGCTATCTCGCTTTTATAAACATGCCTAAAATCCCGTGGGCTACCAATGTGAAAAGAAATTATCTTTTTCTTCCTTTATTTTTTTCCTTTTTATCTTCGGTACTCTTTCCTATTCTTTCTTTTCTTTTCTATTTTTAACTTAATTAGAAGATAATATATATTTGTATAAAGTTAAGTAAATAAACATTTTTCTCTAATTAATATCTTAATAATTTAATTATTGATATTTACGTTCATTATAAGTATAATAATATTGATAAATTTAATAATCGAATTGGTTAAATATCAATTGTAAAAGAATAATATAAAACTCACTTAGTTTTATACTAGTGTAAGTTGTAGTTATATATAATTTAAGAGTTTTAATTTCGATCATTAAACTTAAATAATTTCACGATAAAACAAACGGATAAAACTTTTATGTTTTATACGTTTGTTTCATCGTGGAATTATTTGAATTTAATGATTGAAATTAAAACTCTTAAATTTGAGGATAATTTATTTTTTTCTTCATTTTTTATTATTGATTCCGGTCTTCATTAATATAAAATATGTAAAATTTAAAAGTTTTATATTGTGTCAACGAATTCTATCTCTCTTTATATAGAGAGATAATTACTCAAACCGTCCCCTAGCTGTTAGGATATTTGTTGTTCTCATAGGTACTGTTTTCAGAATTTGGATTTAAGAATGTTGATTTATTAGATATTAAATATTTACTAGTAAAATAATTATTGAATTATTTCTTTAAATTTATAGATTTATTAGATAGATATTTGGTAGTGAATTTAAAATTATAGATATAAATTAAAATTTAATAAATTTATATTATGTCAATTATACATTACACTGAATCTCACCTATTCATTCATAATATATACATTTCATTTTTATTATTTTCGAAACAAATGGAATTTTTAAAGTCGTATTTTCGTAATTATGCATTGTATGAAACTTTTAATTGGAAAGACCATAGATATCTTGTTATTGAAAAAGCAGCGTTTCATGGATCGAGAAAATGACTCCCCTCCCTATGATCTGTCATGACGGTGGTCGGTGGGAAGAATTGCTTTGTCTTTCAATTTATGCCATCATTGTTTACTCCTTACTAGATTTGTGCCATCAATTTAGCAAATTACAACTACTATTTTAATTACTTAAAATTAAATGATATAAAGTTTACCGAAATATTGTATTAAACTCATTAATTGGCCATGGAATTTTTTAGATCCATTAATTCATTAAGTAATTAAGGATGTTTATACTATCTTATCTTACACGAATTTAAATTTTGATATTTATTTTTGAAATGTAATACTTCTCTATTTAATAAAAGAAATAATAACATAATCTTTAAATAATTGGTGTTATAATTAGCAAATTCTATTATAAACTCACTGGACGTACTTACCTCATGTCTAACACGTGAATTAAGATAGTTTTTATATAGATACTTTTTTATATAAATTATAAGTTTGATCGCATCGTTTTAATTTTGTATAATTTTAAATGTTAAAGTTTAATAAAATTATATTTTAATTTGATAAAAACGAATATATGTTTAGAAACTTTCAAATGAAGCCTATTCAGCGACTATGATGCTACAAAATAGCTTAAACGAAAATTCAGCGTCGGGAGTTGAAATTACTTTTCTTCTTGAAAGTAAACAAATCCTTTTATGATGTATGGACTAAAAATGAAAAACTGAGAAATTTTTTCATTTAAAACAACGAGGCAGAAAGCTCTCGAATATGCATGGCCATGTCTCATAAGCACATGCCAATGTTTTATTAAAGTGAAATGTGCCTACGTTTTGCTCATGTGGAAAGTTCATACTCTCTTTTTCATGTAAAGAAAAATCCGAACTTTCGTGCCAATGTAGCAACCATTCTCAAAAACCTTGAAGTTAGATTATTTAAAAAGATAATTATGGGTAAAATAAATATGATTAAAAGTAATATTAAATTGTACATGAAAATTTTAGAACAAAAATTATAAATGAAGGAAAGAAAGTCACTATAATGTTGATATTATAAGCGTGTGAGATTATAAATCCTCACATAAATTCAAATATTTCGTTTTTGAATTATCATAAATCATATTATCTGATGAGAAATAAGTTTAATATTTTAATGAGTTTTCTCTAACACAAATTTTTACTTTTAATCAAAAGCTAATAGAAAGAGTATAGTCTTTCAAGGATTAAATTTGCGGCAAGATTCGTACCGCGGGAGTGGAAGCCTTATTCCCTGATTGAGATTAACGATAGGCTTTGACCTGAGAGTCTTCACATTCGCTATAAATCCTCTTTTTTTCTCCTAACAGATCGCACTCAATTTTGTTGAGTCAAATTAAAATAAAATTTAGATTATAAACTTTAACATTATTTATATTATTAGAGTTGTGAATTTAAACACAAGCATTACTTCTAATTTAAATGTTTGAAAAATATTGTCAACAATATCTAAAACAGATGGTTTAAAAATTTCAGTTGAAATCTTCCATCTCACCTAGATTGTGGACTTGTGGGAATACCCATTAGGAGTAAAATTCATCTTTTCCTCCTCTTAAATAAAAAATGTTGAAAAAAGATTATATGTAAATTTATTTTTTCATATTATAATTAAAAACTTTGTGGGCAAAAAAGTGTTTTTAAGATACAGTACCCTTATAAAGGTTGAAAAAGTTGGCAGCTCGATTGGGGAGGAACCTTTGTCTATAAAATTAGAGCCTACCAAAACGAGCAGTTCACCATGAATTTAAAACAATTTCTTGGAATATAATTGGGATTTTTATATGATTATTATCATCTATTTAGAATTTATAAACGTAATTAGAGAAGCTTTGTGCAGCTATTTCACTAGTTTTTTCATGCGTCCATTAGCAGCGGAAAGTTGAGCAATTCCAGCTGGCGGTATCTACATAGCCTACCTGCCTTTTATATTATCCATAACACATAGAAAGTTGCCAACTTTATCATCACCTATCGCACTTATCATATGGCACGATGATCTCCTCATTTTGGTTTGCACCTGCATTTCAAACATAATACAAATTTGAAGAATTTAATCTACTTTACATCAATATTTATGGTGAATTATAAATAGAGGTGTGTATTTTCAGATATCAAATATTTAAAAATTCAAATTATTAAAATTATAGCTCATATTCGATTCAAAAAAATTAGAATATTCGAATTCGAACATAAAATTTAATCTGACAAAATTTCAGAATTTAATTTTATATTTTGTAACTTTATACATCTTCTATACCTCTACTATATATATATATATATAATTATACACACATGATAAACAATTAAATATCTTAATTTTATTGGGCTAGAAAATTAATGGGTTGTCTACTTATTGGGTTAGAAATGATCTAAACTCTATAAAAGTTTAACTTTTATCGGATTTTTGAATAATCTGAAATTAAAATTTAGAAAATCAGTATTCGATTCGATTATTTATTTTTTAATATTTAATTTGAATTATTTGAAGAAAAAAAATGATATCCAAATTTTTTAGTTTGGATCAGATTTTTTTTGCACACCTCTGATTACAAGTAGATGTGGGTATTAATATTTATATTTTAATTATGAAATCATTTTACTTTATTTTTTAGAACAGTAAAATTAAATAATTTATTTAATTGCTTTTGACATATTGTCCATCGCGTAAAGTTGTATATAGGTAATTCTTAATGCTTATCCATATAATTCCTTTTTTCCAATCACTTTCCTTTTCTTCCCCTCGTCTCACCTTTCTGTTCCTTTAGTGAGGGTTTGCGTCATACCGATATTATATTTTTGAAGACTCGGGTAGAGGTATTTTTAGTCTTTTTATTTTCTGTTTCTTTTCCTTTAGTTTATCATTTGTTTATGAGATAGTCGATATC